GCCGTGCCCGCTGAACCTCCGTCCCCTAGACCTGATGGAGCTGATGCTGCTGCAGAACGCACAGATGCACCAGCTGATCCTGGGTCGCCTGGTGGCAGCAGCGCTGAGCCCCTGGCCCGCCTTCTCTGGCCCGCAGGTGGGAGGCTGGGGGGTGGGCTGGGGGCGGATTCTCCCCCCACCCCTGGGGGCTGCCCACCTGTAGGTCCAGGGGTGGGATCCATCTGGGGGGTCCCCTGAGAGAAAGGACCAGGTGAAAGGAGCAGGGAGTCAGCCCACACCTATCCGTCTGGGTCTGGTTGGCACTGATTATGTGCCAGGCCTTGTGCCAGTCTCCATGGGTTGGGGCTGGGGGTCCCTAATCCAGACCACGCAGGCCTTGTTTTCAAGCAGACGTCCCTGCAGTGTGTCCCTCCCTGGGCTGCAGGCCCAGGAGGACGGGTGCCATTGCACCTGGACCTGCAGGCGCCTGGTACTTAGGGGCTGATGTTTGCTGAGAAGCCAATGAATAAACGAATGACTATGAACACCAGGCAACTTTGGCACAGGAGGGGTGCCCTGCCTGCGTGCCCATCTGGCTGGGCATGAGGAAAGGCTCCGTGGAGGGGCAGGTGGCCTTAGAACAGTTATGGCGAACCTTTTGAGCTCGGTGTGTCAGCATTTTGAAAAACCCTAACTTAACTCTGGGGCCGTGTCACATATAGAAATTTTTTGATATTTGCAACCATAGTAAAACAAAGACTTATATTTTGATATTTATTTTATATATTTAAATGCCATTTAACAAAGAAAAATCAACCAAAAAAATGAGTTCGCGTGTCACCTCTGACACGCATGTCATAGGTTCGCCATCACTGCTTAGAACCAGCCCTTGACAGCCACATGGGGTTTTGATGGTTGGAGGTGAGGGTGTGTCCACCACCCAGGCTGGCAGAGCCCTCCAGCGGCCCTGGGATGAGTGGCTCCAGGGCCTGGGGCAGGCCAGGGGCAGCTTCCTGGCCCCCTCCCCAGCTCTGGAGTCAAACCTGGACTCTTCCAGTCCCTGCTCGCCTCTCATTAGCTGGGTGACCTCGACCATCAGCTCAGGCTCTTCAAGCCTCAGGTTCCCACCTGCAAAATGACTCCAAAGTGCCTGCTTAATGTAGCAAATACCAAGAACCAGTTGATGATGCAGATCTGGAAAAATAATTTAGAGGCACGGAGGAGTGGGGGTGGGGAGAGCCTGACCCTGTGTCACCCCCCCCCCCCCCCCCCCCCCCCCCCCC